GACGTGTGATTAAATTATCTCAAGATCAATATCCTCTGTTTCTTTACTTCAACAGTCATTATTATCATCTATCCTCTTTTTGCTTGGTTGTGAATATCGCAAATATCAGGACGCCTAAAAGCTTTATATGCGTGGTTCCATTCAGATCAATGCCTGTACACCACGGTTTTAACATTGCAAATTTCATACATGTGCCTTGCCCGGGCGCTTTGAGGTCATTCATACAACTTTCGGCATTCCTTTGCCAATGGAATCATTGTCAGCAGATAACATAGACTGTTTGTTCTCCGCCAATGATGTTTCATCATTTTAAGAGCGTGTGATTAATGCGCCGTTGTACCAAATTGGGTCTCTTGGCAATTGGGAATCTTTGGTTGTTGGGATGAATCCCACAATCGTCCTAATCATCTGTCAATTTCCTGCCCATGTTCATGTGCACATAACAAACACAACTGTTGTTCTATTCGTTGTATAAATGACCCGTGAAGGTTCGGGTTAGAATATTGATCTTCAGTAACCCATGCTTGTCGGAAGAAGCGACTAACGGGATCGGGTGGTCAGGCTCGCTGACTTGGTTGACACATGTCATCGGTTCCCAATTGCGCAGGTCGATGATCATTCTGTTGATCACTGGATTGTCTTGTCCAGACTCGATTATTTACAGACCGCCGCCATATAGCTGGAATATTGCTGAGTGCGGCGTAAAACTAAACTCACTCACTACTAGTGACTTTGTTGAGGTATGTGTCTTTTCACTCGTCTGCAGTTACAAAGTGACATTTAATCTAACAGTACTGGCTATTTATAAAGCGCCTGTATCCACGCACTTGTGCATGCTCAAAGCGCTAACGCATTGTTACCCCGCATAACCCGAGGTGCATGTGAGACGCAAGAAGGTTACCAGTCATATGACTTATCCCACCGGGTAGTCATTCACTGCTGGGAAGATAAAGGCAATTCATGAACAAACTTACTTGCTTAAGGTGAGACCACAAGTGCCACGTATGGTTCGTTGTGGGGCAGGACTGAAGAAACTCTCAGGAGTCAAGCTGCCAAACAAGGTCATCCATCCACTGACTGTCTCGCGACCAACGTTGTTTAACTTCACCTGATATGTCACCTGGACCCTGTTCCTCAAAGCGATCGTAGCGCTTAGACGATCGTAACTCCCATGATTTAACATAGACTTACGACAGTCGTAGCGCTACGATCGCGTTGTGGAACAGTACCCTGGACTGTATGTACAGGAGCACACACCATAATACTATGAATATGTTGCAATACTTTCAAAACAGTGATATTAAAATGTGAGTACCGTTGGTATAATGTGTATCCATGAGTTAATAACACTATATGTCTATACTAGGAAATGTCAACAATCCTTTTCTATAAATTTGTCAACACTGTGTATTTCATCTTTTTATAACGTATGTACAAATAATTGGAAAACCAACCTTAAAATCTGATTTGCCATGTAGACTTCACGGAGAAAACTAAAACACAACATAGCTTCATATCCTCCTTATCGCCATTAGAGAAACAGCAGATTATGTATTTCTGTGTCTGCTCCTCGTTCCATATCTCGTCTAGCCATAAACACTGCTTCCTTGTTTCCCAGGGGTAACTTGCAACGCCCCGTAATGTCATTATACATGATTCTATCTTACAAATCATGTAAAGCTTGTCTCTTCATACATTATCAGTAGTAACGTGCTTATCGGTAATGTAACAATGTAATTGTGATGTCTTAAGAGTGAATGAGTTTAGTTTTGCGCCGCGTTTAGCAATATTCCAGCAATACCACAGTAGGGACACCAGAAATGGGCTTCACATATTGTACCCATGTGCGGAATCGAACCCGGGTGTTTAACCACTAGGCTACCTCACCACCCCTTATGTCTTAAGAGACGTTCAGGTAAACGACAGAGAATAACCAGTCTCGATTACCCGCCTGAGCTGATTCCATTGGGCGTAGAATGCAAAATAGTAAAATGGTATGAACGGGTCATTGAAAATCAGTGATGACACCAGGTGTTCGCTAAAAGAGGACCGCCTCCGTGGTGTAGTGGTTAGAGCGGAAGGTCGCGGGTTCGATCCCCGACAGCGTCATATATATATAAGATGTTTAAATATGGTACTTGTTGGTTCCTGCCTGGCGCTCGGCATTAATGGGTACAACAAGGACTGGTCGGCTCGGAGTCAGTATAATGTGTCTGAGTGGGGTATTCATGCTTCACTGAGGCATGGTATCTCAGTGGGCTAGCATTATAAAACCAGCTTCAGTCTGGGCTAGTACAAGCAGCCGCACATACACATACACACGCATGCACGTCGTCATATGAGCGAAATATTCTCAAGCACGACCCAATTTCACCTCACCTAACCTCAAAATGCAAAACAAAATACTTCTGGTCGCAAAGATTACATGTTCATATAATTGGTTTTGACGGTGAAAAGACGGTGGGAAGGATACGCTCACCTTTTCACCTGCTTTCGTCGTAATTTGATTGGGATTCATGTACGGATGCATAATATAGTTAGAATGGCACAATGGATTCTGCATTTGGCAGAGATTTCTTATGAATATTGAAAAGGTTTTGAAATTTGTTTACACTTATTTACACATAATACGTCTTTGAACGAGTGTTATTATATGGTTATTATATTATTGGTTCCTGCCTGGCGCTCGGCATTAATGGGTACAACAAGGACTGGTCGTCTCGGAGTCAGTATAATGTGTCTGAGTGGGGTATTCATGCTTCACTGCGGCATGGTATCTCAATGGGCTAGCACTATAACACCAGCTTCAGTCTGGGCTAGTACAAGCAGCCACACATACACATACACACACATGCACGTCGTCATATGAGCGAAATATTCTCAAGCACGACGTTAAACCCAATTTCACCTCACCTCACCTCACCTCGCTAAAAGAGTGAGCAAGCCACGAACTAAACACATTTGTAATAGTTTAGAATGTAGAGAAAGCTGTAATGTATAGATTTCAGCATCACGGTGTTGCGAGATCATCCATATCTGCACAATGTATTGGAAACATTAAACTAAATTAAACTAAGAGAATAATTTACCTATAGAGTATATTTATGAATGTGAATCAAGTGCCAACATACCGTTACATGAATATACAGTCGGTCTCTCTTTCATCATTGTGTTGAAATAAACTACGTTCATTCCAAACCTGGAAATAAAATGTTGTTTATTTTCCAAACAGAACGAGGAACGTTCAGAATTTCTCGTATCCATTACCTTCATTCTTCATTCAACACTGCAGCACAATAACTTGTTAAAATTTCGAACTTCAAATCATTTTCTTCCAATCGAGACAGGTAGATGGCGACGAATCCCAGGTGTACTATGTGTAACCTAAATGAATTGGTGACGAATTTCAATATTTATTTATATGTCCCAAATTAGAATTAGAAAGAGAAAAATATATCCAGAAGTATTATTATATTAGACCAAATGAATATCCTATTTAACACCAAGAAACTAGGAACTTTAAGAAAACTATCAATTTTTGGTAAAATAATTATGGCTTTATTTAAGAAATAATTTCATTAACTTAATATGTAACTAGCTCGATGTACATTGCACCTATCATACCGTTTGTATATACTTTTTATGTTGTATATAAATGTAAATATTATTTATGTACCTCTTATGCTGCAGTTTGCAGCCTGAGTGAATAAAAGTTCAGTTCAGTATAGCACAATCCGGGTCGCTGGGGTAGCCTCATTGTAAAGCGTTCACTCGTCACGCCGTAGGCCTGGGTTCGACATGCCTATTTCTGGTGTCCCCGATCGTAATATTGCTGGAATATTGCTAAAAGCGGCGTAAAACCATACTCACTCAATCACAGCACAACCCAGCAACAATTCAACTTAATGTCAAGCAATGTTGCATTTGCAGGGCACACAGCGAGTGCAATGAACGGAGGTTCAGTCCATGTTTTTTCAATGTGTACATTACACATGAGGTCTTTTGTAAGTCTCAACAAACACACCGACTATACCTTTACTGAAATAAGCTTTATTGTTAGTCGTTTGTCTAGTACACAAACACTTGATTACATATTGAGGTATTTACAATCAATATATATACAAATAAACACATGTTGTTTAGGGCTTCAAATGCAAATCATGTTTTCTTTTGAATCAACTGACTAATCTGAAAGAAAAATCGTTTCTTTCGAAGCGCGACAATGGGTAATAGATCAGCTTGCATATGAAAACTCCCATTGACAATTACCTTTTCCTCAAACACAAATTTGAAAAATAACCTGATATTCAGATTGGTGAAGTAAGTCAATATTAAGAATGATCAATATTATCAAGACAAATCTGATTTCGTTGTTCTTTCTAAAAAATACTGATTATAACTCTTTTATGCTGAGTCCAAACATATCTTATTCTCAGCTTACTGAACCAATTTGTCCCATGATCATGAAATGAAACAATGAAACAATAAATGCAATCATTGATTCCAATGGGTATGTATGTACATATGTACAAGATATACTCCACAGTTCCTAACATGAACAAAGGGAGGCTTCGCAGCTCACACTATATACAAAGGGAGATTATTCTCCATCCTGTATATACAAAGGGAGATTATTCTCCATCCTGTATATACAAAGGGACATTACTCAGTTTTACAATCTTCGCTTCCAATATTCATGGGGGCGTGGCTCATCGCTCTTGATTCCAAGGAACCTAAACCTTGTATTGATTTGTTGTGACGTTATTGTGTGAGCAAGAGTGATTGTATTGTTAGTAATAAGTTGTGGCCTCCGTAAGTAATTCTGGTCCTCCCCCATTGAACATATTAACAATCTTAACAATCTAAACAGTAAATGCTTCCTCAAAAGGTAAATATTACAAACTTTATAAAGAAATACGCCATCTAGGTTCTTATCTTCCGGACCTATCTCCAAATCTTTGAAATATGGTACACCTGCTTTGAGAACAGGTAATCGTAGATTACACATAGAAACTTGAAGACGGACTAGCGTTGTCAGATCTGACAAACAATGTACATGCCTAAGTCTAGCAACCCTAACTATTTTTGTAATAATTCCTCAAAAAATATATTCACCTCAGTTATGAAACAGACTTAAATACCACTTCCTTTCAAAATTAGCCAAATACATCAAGGGAGGTATGTGTTTGTACAAATGAAATCTATCTTGTACATAATTGTACATTTTTACTGTTGCCATGTATAACGTCATTCTGTTCATATTGTAAATTGTCCGTATGTTCTCTGTCACATCATGTGATCTATGTGAATATACGTCTTCTTCTTCTTCTTTTTCTTCTTCGTTCATATTGTAAGTTATCGGTATCTCTATGTCACACCATGTGATTTATGAGAATAAACCTCTTCTTCTCTTCGTCGTTGAGAGTTGTCCTGTGTAGATATCCTTACCTTGGGGTGAACGTGAAGCTGATTGGTTTCTTCACTTGACCAAAAGTTGTGTAAATGATGTCATAATTTCGATCTTCTTCAGATACCGTCACTTTGAAATTCTGTAAAATCTGCAAGGCATATAGTGGAATAGGTTTACTAACACTATAAGACAGTGTTTGATACAATAAAGATAATGCAGTCCATTATAATTTTTCGCATTTTACGGATCGTGGCATTTCTACCAGGCAATAAACGAAGATATGGTAGCGGATGGCTCCGATGTACTCATCATAATAGAGTGAGTGAGTTCTTTTAACAATATTCCAGCTATATCACGGCGGGGGACACCACAAATGGGCTTCACACACACATTGTACCCATGTGGGCATCATAATAGAAAACATATTTATGATATACTTGATAATTAAGGATCTGACAGAAGAATAAGATGAAAAAGAAGAAGAAGCTATTCTCAATGCAGACATAGATCTCAAATCGCGTTCAGGAGAGGCATTTTCGTTGATTGAAATCGTACGATCCAGTGAAGAAGCATCACGTCATTTTTCGTTGTCGTTCGTCTAAACAAACGTGTAATCCAAAAAATCTTGCATAGTATGTTAATGTCATATTTGAGTCCACAAAGATTCATTGACTTCTGTTTTCCTTTTTTTTCATTCTTGACATGTTAATTTATATCAATATTCTAATTTTGTGTTCTCATGTACCACCGTTGGTGGTGTTACAAGAAATAATTGAAATGTTTCCTTGTCGTAATTCAATCGACATGCTTCATAATCGCGCATGCAGTATCTGTAGCATTCCTTAAATACACATATCTGTAACAACGACAATAGTAACAACAACAACACCACCAGCAGCAACAACAACAATCAAACACCTTTGTCACTGCCAACCAAAGCTCCTGCTCAGCAAATCGCCTACCGATGCATTTTCTGCGCCCAAACCCAAATGGCAGGAGGGCAACACCCGGGTAATCTTTGTCCCTCTTCTTGTTTGCCCCATATCGAAGCCAGCGTTCTGGTAGAAACTCATTCGGGGACTCGAAATACTCGCTGTTCAGTAGGAGACGGCGATTGTTGCAAACTGCCACAGTCTGGAGAGACAAATTCATCAGAACTGTTACACCATGAACCACGTGTGCAGGCTTGGGTGGTTTCTGGGGCTCTCATTCGCATTGCAAGGTTGTCTCTATTGGTCTGGCAAGGTCATGTCAATGCTTATGAATGTTACCAATAGTGTACGTCTACTTTCTGACAGATCGCTTTCACTTTCCCGCCATAAAACATACAGTTTATACCGTGACGTAGACATTGTACATTCCCGTGAACTGTGCCGGCCGGGATATTGAAGTCTCGTACTACAAAAGAGCTACAACAAATTGGTAGCTCAACATTAATAATTACAAAATTTGTTACACAAAAAGAAATGATACCGGTCCAACTCACGTTAGACCCAGAGAACGTAACTGAGGTTTGAGCATCTAGCGTTATGGTCAAGGTGGGAAATTGTGTTTCGGATTTGTTTCAACGTGAACGCTTTTCAAGTGAACTGTTCCATTAGAAAAACCTAGGTTCACTGTATCCTTGCCAGTTGTTGACAGTAAACGAGTTGTATAATACTTACTCCTTTAGGGACCAGGAAGTCTCCGATCTGTACGTCCTTTGGGAGAATACGCAATGTCCCAAATGGCAATGGGAAATTTAACCTGGAAGTTAAAAGAAAGAAGAATGAAACATGTCTGTTAACTTGTCATGGTATTATCCGTCCTATCTACAAAGGTAAAGGAAGTACAGATGGCCCTGGAAATTTCCGGACCATATGTATTATAAGTTGCCTTGGTAAATTATTTACCTCACCGGCGACATAATGTTGAGTATTATTAGCACTTTAGACCATCATAATTTGCGAAATTATGTTTGACGGACATTTATATTGTGCTCTTTACTGCAAAAGTTATGGAGATTAACCATCAACTCAAGCTAAAATTTTTGTTAACATGTACAATTTAGTTTTCGGTTTCGTTTTGCACTAAAAGAGATATGAGTAAACAGATCCTAATAAATGGCTCATTAATATGTCAAAGATTGTAAGTATATTGGACTTCATTTTAAAAACAGTAATCTTTCTGTAAAACCCCTTTGCGCATCTGCTACTACGACAATGTATTTCGTTCGGCGTACAAGAACAACTTCAACCTATCAATAAAATGCCAATTATATCTCTTTGATGCCATGGCCAAGCCAATTCTGTTACCAGAAAAGGGTTATCCACATTGTCCTCATGGGAGAATCGGTGGATTCTGCCTCACAGCGAATGCTTGACCACTAGACATCATTTTGCAAATTTTGGAATGTAATTGAATATATATAGTCACTGCAACAGAACCCAGTATACTCTCTGTGAAGCAAGGCGCAATGAAATACTCTATATCATACGGTCAACTACGCTTTCACTAAATCCAGTTCTTTATAGCCGTGGTTTGTCAATGCATTTCGAATATACAGTACGTTGCCGACCAAAAAGCCCTAAACGTTCGTTATATCATTCACTTCCTGGAGAGCGGAAGGTCGCGGGTTCGATCCCCGACCGCGTCATACCAAAAGACGTTAAAATATGGTACTTGTTGGTCCCTACCTGGCGCTCGGCATTAATGGGTACAACAAGGACTGGTCGGCTCGGAGTCAGTATAATGTGTCTGAGTGGGGTATTCATGCTTCACTGCGGCATGGTATCTCAGTGGGCTAGCACTATAAAACCAGCTTCAGTCTGGGCTAGTACAAGCAGCCGCACATACACATACACAAGCATATACGTCGTCATATGAGCGAAATATTCTCAAGCACGACATTAAACCCAACTTCACCTCACCTCTTTCACTTCCTAATAACCGTATTTGGCATGAACACTATTCACAGTATTAGTGCGTTTTCTAATTGTACACTTCAAAGAGGAGCCAATTACCAGGCCTGGGGCCTGAGTAGTCCGTAATTGTATTTGATATTCATATTCGAACACTTTTACCTGAATGACTCCTTCATGCATGACCTATAGTACTCCATCTGCTTCATGTGGTCAGCCAGGATGGGGCTGCCCTTTGGACCAATGACATCCAGGATCTCCTCGTACAACTTGTGTTGCTTGCCGGGGTTCAGGGCAAGGCTGAGCAGCAGGAACTCAACGTTTTTAGCAGTCTGTGGATGTACAGGTTACAACATGATACACCACTAGCACACCGTAATGCAAGCAACTTGTACACATGTACTAGGGCGGTCGTCAATGATTTCCGTACATGATATGCTTACTTTGTACATAAATTTTACATTGTACATGATTCTCCATAAAAATCATCATCACCCCTAGCCATAGATTATGTACGGTACCTTATTACTTTCGGAGACCCTACTAACATTTGTATGGATGGACATTTGCTTAATTCTGTTATTACTACGGACGAAATCATGGACATTGTAAATAATCTGAGGGAATGAACGTCTCATGAACCAGATCAGATTTTGGCTGACAAGCTGAATGCTTTCTTAAAATGACGTCCTTGTACTCTTGTTTCTGTACAAGTACAGATAACGGTGGAAACTATTTGTTTTCCGTTTGTTTCCTTGTTTATTCCACCACACGACAGAACAAGAAATGATCTTGGCAATTGTCATTTCCATACAGAGCAATATGATTAGAATAATTACTTCTGTACTTGATAACAGAGGTACACGTTCGGCAGATACATGAACTGCATCCTCGAAACAGAAAAGGATATTCTTTGTAAGTCATCGCTTTGTAAGTCATCGTACCAAAATATTTATCATATCGTACCCATAAATTATTGCAGATCTTTGTAAATAATACATTAGCGTATGCATTTGATGGATTTGTATTGTATGTATTAGGATGGATTTGATTGTTATCATCATACATTTTGACTGTGTTTAAGTTGGCTTTCTTTGTAAAATGTATGCAGTGCCACAGTTTTATTATTTAATATTTGTTTTTATTTCCTGTATTTTGGCATGTCCAGTTAAACTATTACTTCGGCCAGTATTTGAGAAACAGCAATTGACATAAGAGCAGGCACTAGGGCCTTAAACACTACGGTGATTAAATTGTATTACGTTTGACAGAAGAATGTGATCATTCTCGCATTAGTGTGTTCATTAAGGCTTTGTCTGGAGCCAGCTGATTTCCCGGCGTGACAGCTTAATGTTGGAAAAATTCCAAAGAAGCCGCAGATAATAGGCATTTAACACTTGGGCGAAGAAGTAGAACCGATGAACAGAGGCTTGGAGATAAGACGCTGAGATCCATTTCTGGGAGTTGTGGATATGCATGGAATCGACACAATACTCGCCCCAAAAGTATGCTATGAATGAATGAATAAAAATAAATGAATGAATGAATGAATGAATGAATGAATGAATGAATGAATGAATGAATGAATGAATGAAAGGAAGGAAGGATGGATGGATGCATTGAGGAAGTAAGGATGGATAGTTGAATGGTTGGATGGATGAAAAATATAGTGTTTGTTTTGGACCTATGTGTGAATGAATAAGACTGTTTTGGAATGAATGAATGTATGAATGAATTAATGAATGAAAAAGACACTGTTTTGGACTGACCGAGTCTGTGCCAGCGGTCAGTAGGTCCAGCATGATGGCCTCCACACTTTCCTCTTTCAAATTAGGATGAGCCTGCAGCTGAAGGATCAGATTTGGCTCCTCGGGATCAAAGGTTCCTGCCTTTATTTCACGATCAAACCTCATCATTGCTTCTCTGATGTGGACACGTCCGTAGCTGGAAATGGAAGCTGAGACTTATGAATATTTTCTAGATCTTGTGCACACACGCCCTACACATATTTCAGGCAACGAATGACTGATGTTTTAACGTGTAAAACACCAAGCACGGGCAAAACAGTTGTGGTCGGGGTATGAGGGCATAGGCCAATTATTATTATTACTTCCGATTATTCTGACAGGAATTCAACGTTGACCGCTTTGGGAAACCCATAAGCATGGTGCTTTCATAGTTAGAAACATAAAATAAGCATCGAACCCACGGTCAAATGTTTCTGGCAAACAATGTGCAAAATCTTCAAAGGCATTTAGAAGTTGGTGTAGTAATACAAGACAAATCTTATGGATAACAACTTCTTGGTTTATTTTTCACAAATTCTGCATAGCAAAATTCCAATCCTTTGTCCTCATTGATTACAGATTTAAGAGACGTGCTTTTACGCTATCAACCTATTAGAAAACGTGGTTATGTGTTAACTTATTTGTGTATGATGTTCTTAAATGAATCGTCAAAAACTCACCCATAAGCCTCCCTTGCGACATTTTCAAAGCGCCTGTACAGCTTTGTAGGGTAGACTTTGTACAGAGATAGGCCAATGTCTTCATAGAACAATGCAAAGAAGGTCTGAATGGCTGTGATGTAGCTGGCGTTCTCGGGGGACAAGTTGCTGCCATCGGGCGCCATGAAACCAAGGCGCTTGTTGAAGGCCACTACCCCGATACCTGGACAATGAATTTCTCAAATGCCATTTTGGTCAGAATGATAAATGAAGTAATATCATGGCGTGTCAACGCTTTGGCCAAACCCACGAACAAGGGTACAATGATGAACTTAGAAACAAAATGTAAGCGACCCAGATTAGTAGTCATGATAATAGCTTTCTGGCAACATAGTTGGTCTAAGCTCCTTCAAGAGGGTACATGGGTCAAATGTACTTGAGTATTGTCATAGAATGTAGCCTTAACGATCGTACAAATCCCACATCAACATCATCATCACCATCAACATCAACATCATCGTCATCACCACCACCACCACCATCATCAACATCATCATCATCACCACCACCACCACCACCACCATCAACATCAACATCAACATCAACATCGACATCAACATCATCACCACCACCACCATCAATATCAACATCAGCATCGACATCATCACCACCACCACCACCACAATCATCAACATCATCGTCATCAAGCTTACTGTGAACTAGTCAATGTAACACAAAATCGCACATAACCACGTACATACGAGCAGCGGAAAAACATAAACAATTCCTGGTAACGTTGCTATAATCACTTGATGCTTGTAAGAAAGACATGTATCGACTGATTGATTGAGAGATGATTTCTGTTGAAACCTACTTTCTGTTGCATATTGAAAAGCTCATTTCTGAACTCCTCCGGAGTGTATTTGATTGTGGACATTCTGGTGATGAGGTCGTTTGCAACCGCAGCCTGAGCGTCCACGTATACGGCGGCAGAGAGCGGTTTCAGAAGATACTGTTGGGTTGCTGAGCGGACACGGTGCCATTCTGGTCCATTTCTGAATACATGATCAATGAGAGAGAATAGAAAGAACATCATCAAGGAATTGTCGTTATCACACTGTCAAACTGTATTTTGCAACCACATCCTAAATAGGCTGTGTACAGTTTATCCTCTAATTATATGTTACAAGTTTCCCGTGTTAATGTGTATATCAATTATCCTAAAATGGATGACATCACGCTCTGGGCCTCATATCTTTTGTTCATGAGCTTCTTGTCTTTCAAACACAACTTTATCAATTTCCGTGTCGTCAAGAAATATCCAGTTTACAAACGAAAAGAAACAATTGTTAACAGTAATTCAGTTTCTATAGCTTGTGCGTCTCTGCATCAGTGTTTGTAAAAACCCACTTTAAAGTAGAAGGATGGTTGGGATCGTTAAAACGTATATCAAAAGAGTAGTCCATATTATTGCTAACGTTTATGTTTTGCATATATTAATCAGAGAAAGTATTACAACAGCCCCAAGGGTGAGCATCTTTAAACTGATTTGTCGCATTGTAGACCCATGGGCAAGTTAGGCCGGGGCTTGGTTAAACATGTTTCAGCAACCCGAATAGACCATATTGATGTCCTTTACTCATACACCTTCTGATGTCCTTTTCAAACACATAGCCACAACGTCCTATACTCATACACCGTCATCGACGTGCTTTACTCATACACCGTCATCGACGTCCTTTACTCATACACCGTCACAGACATCTTTTACTCATACAGCGTCATAGACATCCTATACTCATACACCGTGATAGACGTCCTTTACTCATACTCCGTCATCGACGTCCTTTACTCATACACCGTCATCGACGTCCTTTACTCATACACCGTCAACGACGTCCTTTACTCATACACCGTCAACGACGTCCTTTACTCATACACCGTCATTGACGTCCTATACTTATACACCGTCATTGACGTCCTATGCTCATACAACGCCATTGACGTCCTTTACTCATACACCGTCGTCGACGTCCTTTACTCATACATCGTCATTGACGTCCTTTACGCACACACCTTCATAGACGATCTTTACTCATACACCGTCACAGACGTCCTTCACCCATACACCGTCATCGACGTCCTTTACTCATACACCTTCATAGACGATCTTTACTCATACACCGTCACAGATGTCCTTCACCCATACACCGTCATCGACGTCCTTTACTCATACACCGTCATTGACGTCCTTTACTCATACAACGTCATTGACGTCCTTTACTCATATACCGTCATTGACGTCGTTTACTCATACACCGTCCTCGACGTCCTTTACTCATACGCCTTCATAGACGATCTTTACTCATACACCGTCACAGACGTCCTTCACCCATACACCGTCATCGACGTCCTTTACCCATACACCTTCATAGACGATCTTTACTCATACACCGTCACAGATGTCCTTCACTCATACACCGTCATCGACGTCCTTTACTCATACACCGTCATAGACGTCCTTTACTCATACACCTTCATAGACGATCTTTACTCATACATCGTCATCGACGTCCTTTACTCACACACCGTCATAGACGACCTTTACTCATACACCGTCACAGACGTCCTTTACTCATACTCCGTCATTGACGTCCTTTACTCATACACCGTCATTGACGCCCTATACTCATACACCGTCACTTACGCCCTATACACATACACCTGCATCTATGTCCTTTACTCATACATCGTCATTGACGTGCTTTACTCATACACCTTCATCGACGACCTTTACTCATACACCGTCCCAGACGTCCTTCACCCATACAACGTCATCGACGTCCTTTACTCTTACACTTTCATCTATGTCCTATACTCATACACCGTCAGTGACGTCCTTTACTCATACACCTTCATCTATCTTCTCTACTCATTCCTCATACTCCGTCATTGACGTCCTTTACTCATACACCGTCATTGACGTCCTTTACTCACACACCGTCATTGACGTCCTATACTCATACTCTGTCATAGACGTCCTTTACTCATACACCTTCATCTATGTCCTTTACTCATACATCGTCATTGACGTCCTTCACTCACACACCTACATCTATGTCCTTTACTCATACTCCGTCATTGACGTCCTTTACTCATACACCTTCATCGACGACCTTTACTCATACACTGTCATAGACGTCCTTCACCCATACATCGTCCTCGACGTCCTTTACTCATACACCGTCATCTATCTCCTTTACCCATACTCCGTCATTGACGTCCTTTACTCATACACCTTCATCGACGACCTTTACTTAGACACCGTCTTTGACGCAATTTACTCATACACCGTCCTCGACGTCCTTTACTCATACACCTTCATCGACGTCCTATACTCATACACCTTCATCGACGTCCTTTACTCAAACAACGTCCTCGACGTCCTTTACTCATACACCGTCATAGACGTTCTATACTCATACAGCGTTGGCTCGTCACGCCGAAGACCCGGGTTCGATTCCCCACATGGGCACAATATGTTAAGTACCATTTCTGGTGTCCCCTACCGTGATATTGCGATTGAATATCCTCGGCGTAAAACTAAACTCAGTCAGTCACGTCTATACTCATGACGTCATTGACGTCCTTTACTTTACACACCGTCATTGACGTCCTATACTCATACACCTTCATTGACGTACGTCCTCATACACCGTCATTGACGTCCTTCACTCATATGTCCCTTTTACTCATACATCGTCATTGACGTCCTTACTCATACTCACACACCTGTCCTTCATCTATGTCCTTTACTCATACTCCGTCATTGACGTCCTTTACTCATACACCTTCATCGACGACCTTTACTCATACACTGTCATAGACGTCCTTCACCCATACATCGTCCTCGACGTCCTTTACTCATACACCGTCATCTATCTCCTTTACCCATACTCCGTCATTGACGTCCTTTACTCATACACCTTCATCGACGACCTTTACTTAGACACCGTCCTTGACGCAATTTACTCATACACCGTCCTCGACGTCCTTTACTCATACACCGTCCTCGACGTCCTTTACTCATACACCTTCATCGACGTCCTATACTCATACACCTTCATCGACGTCCTTTACTCAAACAACGTCCTCGACGTCCTTTACTCATACACCGTCATAGACTCATACACCGTCACTGATGTCAACAACTCATACACCTTCATCTATGTCCTTTACTCATACTCCGTCATTGACGTCCTTTACTCATACCCGATCATTGACGTCCTTTACTCATACTCCGTCATTGACGTCCTTTACTCATACACCGCCATTGACGTCCTTTACTCACACACCGTCATTGACGTCCTATACTCATACACCGTCATTGACGTCCTATACTCATACTCCGTCATAGACGTACTATACTCATACACCTTCATCTATGTCCTTTACTCATACATCTTCATCTATGTCCTTTACTCATACTCCGTCATTGACGTCCTTTACTCATACACCTTCATTGACGTCCTTTATTCATACACCGTCATAGACGTCCTTTGCTCATACTCCGTCATTGACGTCCTTTACTCATACACCGTCATTGACGGCCTATACTCATACACCGCCATTGACGCCCTATACTCATACACCTGCATCTATGTCCTTTACTCATACACCGTCCTCGACTTCCTTTACTCACACACCTTCATAGACGATCTTTACTCATACACCGTCCCAGACGTCCTTCACCCATACATCGTCCTCGACGTCCTTTACCCATACACCTTCATCGACGACCTTTACTTATACATCGTCCTTGACGCAATTTTCTGATACACCGTCGTCGACGTCCTTTACTCATACACCTTCATCGACGTCCTATACTCATACACATTCATAGACGTCCTATACTCACACACCTTCATAGACGATCTTTACTCATACACCGTCACATATGTCCTTCACCCATACATCGTCCTCGACGTCCTTTACTCATACACCGTCATCGACGTCCTATACTCATACAACGTCATTGACGTCCTTTACTCATATACCGTCATTGACGTCGTTTACTCATACACCGTCCTCGACGTCCTTTACTCATACACCTTCATAGACGATCTTTACTCACACAACGTCACTGATGTCAACAATATCTTCTTCTGATTCACCCGTCATCGAC